GTGTTCGCTGAGCTCGTAGTTCTTGTTGATCAGGTCCATCAGGTACTTGGCCATCTGCTCCCGGTAAAATCCCATATAGGCCGGTGATCGACGGTGCTTCCGAGCCAAAGTCGCAGTCGTCGTCGTCGTCGCTTCAGCGTGAACCGACTGCCTACTGGCTCAGGGCTGAGGTGAACCGTGCGACGGATGGATCAGGGCAATCTCGCCAAGCGTTCATCGGATCAGCGACCATGTGCGAACAACAGAATTCGCAAATCACTAGTCTCTGTTCTGTGGTGACCACCGACACGGGCGACGGCACTGGCTTAGGCGATGCTACACGACCAACAGCATGATACGTATGCCGACCGACCGACCGACGGCTCTACTATATAGCAGCCCGGTTGCACATCGATTTTCACTTACACATTTGCCTCAGAACAAGGACTCACGCTGTCACACACTAATTGGCACAATTTGTTAACAGAGAAGGAATCGCCCGAGTTTCTGAAGCCATTAGGTTTACCGAATATCTTAATGTTATTCATTAAGGGCTTTGAAAACGATGTCGATCGCTCAACCGAATGGTGAGCAGCTTTCGACTACAAGCATTTATCCTTCTCTCGCTGCTTGCCTCATCGCTTCACCTTTCCCGCCTCTCTGTCCCATTGGTTCAGTCTTGTTTAAAGTGCTGCAACGTTGGCGAAATTGAATTCTCGGTGTAATAATGCCGCCACGATCTCGAGCAGCTATTTGGTAATAAGCTGGAGAGCAGAACTTAAAAGAGAATGCAGCAGTAAGCACTGAAAGTAACCCCTTAAAACACTGGTTAATTAAAAGAATACAGGAGGTTGTGACGAGCATTTTATCCTACGACTTCGTGTAGACTTCCGCGAAGTAAAGGCTGCCGCTGATGATCAATCCGTAGAATTATGAACATGAGATGAGGAAACACACTCCTGAGCACAACTCAGAGCACACCTCAAAAAGGCATCGCTTCGTGCTATTAATCCAAACACAGGTCTCTGAGCAGACACAAAGAAATCTGATCATCCCAGTAATTCGCCATAATTCCATATTCCAGCTGTACGCTCAACATCTTTGATTCGGGTACCTTTTGTAAACTCTGTCCAAGTCCATAAAAAGCACCAAATGAGTGTAAAATTTTTTAATAATCATTTCACTGGTATTTCAAATCTTGTTCATCCCACCCATTCAAAGGGCGGTATCATCGTTCCTTCTGTTGATATCGCACAGCAGTAATCTCATTTTCCTCTTATCCTTGATTCCCTTCGGATATAGATAACGTGGTGGAGAAGCTATATCACACTTTTATCAGAGATTGGCCCAGACGGTGCTCCGAGTTTTTCTGGCCTTGTAGATTGAACACTGACGGAACATGAGGTAAAATAAACAGTTCTCTTGGATACATCGAAAACATGCCAAATGTAATCGCAATATCCCAATCTCAAGAAGAAAAAAATTCGAAAGATAAGCCATGCTAGTCATTTGTTCATGCCAGTTTAGTGTGCGTTGTGGTTATACATCATGCTTTATACAGGTTTATTCCATAAGGAAAATATATGATGCATTACATAGGCAAATTCAGATCTATTTTTTGCCGATGGCTAAGAAGCCAAGTAACAAACTTGCAGAAAGGCTTTTGAATAAATCACAAAGCAGGCGATCAACAGATTGACTATTGTGAAGACACAGCATATTTGTGTCCTGGAGCATGACCAGTGAGCTTTTTCGTCGCATACTAACCTTCAGTGACAAAAATGGTGCCGCATAAAGGGGCGTACCGCCGAACCTCCTGAAGATCCTGTCCCCAATCCAAAAAATACGACGGTTTCTGAAGAAGGCACGACGAGGCAACGAAACGACATGGAATACTTGTTAACCATTCGTGTTTACACGAAAAATTCAATAGCTTAGGAAGCAGAATAGAAAATAAAAGTAGAGATTGTCTAAATTCAGTAACTCAACAATTTCAGTCGTGAAGAATGGTGGCATCAATTGAGTCACGTGCCCATGGGCAGATGATTTCTTCTAATGATGACGTTTAGTGAGAATTTTAGTTAAGGTAATTTTCTGCCGAAAGAGGCATGCATCAGGCAACGCGATCATGCGTTTCACACCCTTTGGCATGAGAGCGTCGTGTTGCAGCTGTTATTCAACGGTCAGTGGCCTGCTACCCGCATTTCAGCTGGGTGCACCGAAGCAAGTGGAGTGGGTTCCTTGCTAAAGTGAATTTGCAGTTAATAAGAGTAAATCTACGCCGTTTACAACTGACTTTGAATCAGCACGTGTGAAGTATCCGAATAACCGATTGCACCACTTTCCTCCTAATCTCCATATATCTCCAAATAATGCTCAGCTCTGCAGTAGGCAGGAAATAGAAATAAAACGACGCCACTGCAAGAGCCATTAATGAAGGAGCCTTAATCGATCTGTGTGAAGAAAGAGACTGTGGTAGTGTGACGCTTGTGTTTTAAAGTTTTTCTGCACTCTTCCCTCATCTTGAGTTAGAAGGCAATAATTGAAGCGATGAGTGATTCCATGGTAATCTGGACACTGGCATTAAAAATAAGGTTTCTTTGAAAGTTTGATGGAATGCTAGCGCTTGACGGACTATCATCGACAAAGATTGCGAATGTGTGGAAAAACGGGAAGTCAGCGGCACAATGGCTTGGTACTTTGCTTTGTTAAGTTCAGAGGTTTTAAGTTCAGAGGTGCCAGGTTCAAACCCTAGGAATTCCGTAAATTTTATTTTATCAACTGCAAATTTCATGGAGATTTGGTCTAATAATGCCAAAGTCTGCATGACATATGCTTTATATACAATTAGCTTTGTCCCACCCGATAGCTGACCCTAAAATTAGGGCAAGACGCAAATATAAATTAATATTTGTTATACCCTTCTTACAGGACTTTCCTGCATTATAGGGAAAACTCGTAATTGAGATTGTTTACACGCCTGATCAGATTGCCGATGAGTAAATTCACAAGATGGCATGGATCGGGTTTTGGCATGACCAAGGATCAGACAAAATACCCGTGGCTTCAGGTTAGTGAATAGCTGGAATCCAACACGATAGAACTTCCTCGGTTAGGCTAAGACTTGGACCACCATAAATATCTCATAGAACTGCTGCTTCTGCAGTCCAAAAGGATTAAAGGATGGCAAAAATTTCTGAATAGATGGAAAAAGGCACGACAGCACGGAAGCACTAACA